TGCACCTTAGTCTCCAGAGAGACACCATTGCTCTTCAGTACTTTGGAGAGGTCCCTCACAGCAGACTTTCCCATGGCAATGTGCCTTTTAATTTCCTGGCTACTGGTGCAGAGAGTGTTGACTATGGAGCCAAGCAAACTAAAGCTGTGAACAATCCCAAATATCTGTTCTAGTTAATCAAAATAGCAAACCAAGGTGACTCTTTGCCAGAGTTCTAAAGCTTCTTGTTATTGTTATTATTATGTGCTATCAAGTCATTATTATTAGGAGACACTCTTAGGAGACACTCCAGTGAGTTCCAAAGGTTATAAATAGCAGACTGCCCACCTTTCTCATGGATTTGAATCTTCTACCTTCCAGTTGGCAGAGCAACCCCAACCACTAAGCCATCAGAACACCCCACTCTTTAGCTTGCCAATGCCTCAAAAAGGGTTAGATGTCATTCTAGTGCATTTTAATTTTTCACTATATTACTATAATGAATGTACTACTAATTCAACTCCCTGTTAACTACTTCTCCAAGACCAAACTCATATCATTGGACAATATCTCAGGGTTCTTGTCCTTTTCTATCCTAATTCCCATCCTGCTTCTTTACTTTCATCATGCAAAAAGCTTAGGATTCTATCACCTCCACCTTTTTATAACAGCATATCTGTCTCCTTTAAATAGGCTCTAGGTCCTCAAGAGAACTGTTCACAAATCCTTTAAAGAGATAATAAAGTCTATCTTTCCCCTCTGGGCAAAAGAACAAAAAGAGGGCCAATTTTTGGTCTTCTGTTTCAATTCACTTTTATTTTTATTTAGCAAAACTAAATCACTATAGAGAAGGTATCACCCCTACCCTTGTCACACAAAGGACACAATATGTTAATATGTTTGGATATGACCCTAAAGTTTACAGATTACATGCTCATAACTGACTCATTGAACTTCACAACAACATTGTGGTTTGTTCACAAAAAGCACAGAATGTCTCATCTTATTTATATGCTGTTGAGAAAACTGGAAATAAAAAATTCAATCAACTGCCAACATTGCTACAGTTTATAAGCACTAGAACTGGTGCTGGGATCAAGGTCCTCCTCTCCTGGTTCTTGAGCACTTTCCACTATTTTAAGGTGTTTATTGGCTGGTGTTCCCTCCATGACATTTATGTTGACATATATTGGCACCTCTGATGCTGCAAAGTCAATGTCACCCAGGCTTTTCTTTCATCTAAATTACGGCTTGGCTCCTGCTACTTTTTTTTCCCTTTTTCTTCTCTTGCTACTTTAATAGTCCAAGTTTTAATCAGGTAAATCCTGTTTTGTCTAACACTCATTTATCTGAAAACTATTACCAAGTTTGCAAAGACTGTCACTTAGCAGTAGGTTACACTTTTGGGTGTTTGTCTATAAGATTTTGAAAACTAAAAGTACATAGCAAAATTAGAGAAAACCTTCAACTCTTTGTTTTAACTGGAAAAATATTCATTTATTCTCACCTACACTCATTTAAGCAATTCATTTCAACTTAAGGTGTTAGCAAGAATGACTTTGTTATTTCAATGTGTTTCATAGAATATTCTGAGACAAATAATTTGTTTTGACTTTAAATAAATTTCTGTGCCATCTCCCCAGTTTCCTGGATAGATATCACATCTTTAAAAATTCAGGATATTAGTATAATTGTAGATTGATCTGTCTGTCCCACAAAAGACCAAAGCAGGCTGGATCCAGGAAACTGACCTACCCTTTATAACATGTTTCAAATTCTATCATAAATACATCATTTCCCTCTCTTTTAACTTCTCTTTATACTTAAGCATTGTCAAAGGAATTATTTCATTCGCTTTTAGTTTCAACTAGTAGCAAAGTCCCCTTTATCCCTATAAACATGTGAATTTTCAGAGATCTGAGTCATTTTAGTTGACATGGAAAGCTGACCAGCAAGATGCTGGGGGAAGCCCTCACTCAGCTTTGTTTTGCTGTCAGGCAGGTCACTGTCCCATAGAGACCTCCAAAGGCTTCGCCAGGAAGCTATGATGAGCAGTCCTTAGCCGCTGTTTTTGTTGGTTGGCTGATAAGTTGAAAACAAAAGGATGCTCATGAAAGGCAAAGTTTAAACTAACACATTCTGGCAATGGTGTACTTTTAAACAAATCACACAAGCCCTTCATTAAGACCAGGGCTTATAGACACCTCACTGTGGGTTCCATGGACCTCCATTTACCTTTCTTTGGTACAACTAGGAAGACAGTTTTCTAGCGTGTTTCCACGTGTCCCACATATCACAAAGCTAAGCTAAACGCATTCAACTCTACATTCACCCAGATCAGGACACGGACGGAGCACATCGCTTGGTTAAAGTTGGAATAAAGAGTGGGCTTAGAAGAAGGGTCTTCTTTGCCCTTAGTTGCAAACTCAAGAGACCGAGTAAGAGGCTGAAATCATTACACATCCTTATGAAAGTGCAGCGTTGCCCTCATTAACTACAGAGCTTCGAGAGAAATATCATTCCAGTGACTCACCGGGGCTCTTAGTTTTGTTTTTCTTTTCTAATAGCCTTGGACATGACCTAATTTGCTTCCTGAGATCTTACTTTTTTCGAGCTTAGTTTCCCAGCCCAAAAGGGCCATGAGCACCAGGGGGATCCTTCTGAAAGCCCCTCAGCTGCTTACTCTGGACCCAGTTGTGGAGAGGCAAAGGAGAGGGGCTCGGGCCCCACTTACCGGTCTTCCAGAGGTAGAGGGTGGGCGCCCCCGCCTCGCCCTGCGCCGCAGCCCCGCAGGCGCCCAGGAGTAGCAGCAGCAGTGGCAGCGGCAGCAGCTGCAGGACGCCCGGGCTCCGGGACGCCGAGCACCCGCCTCGCAGCCCCATGCCGTCTGCAGCCGCTCCAGCGTCCAGGTCCGCCGCGCGCTCTGCAAGGGACTGACTGCCCTTCGCCTTCCGAATGCCTTCCCTTCGAGTCCAGAGAGCCCGGCTCTTTCCTGCTATTGTTCGCTTCGGATGAGAAGGAGGGAAAGCGCTTCTAACACCAGGGAACAATAGCGACCGCCGTGGCCGCGGCCGCCGCCGCCGCCACCACCACCGCTGGCGGGGATGCTGCTGCCGCTGCTGCCATTCCGCGCACAGTGGCGGGTCCTAGCGGCGAGGGAGGCAGCCGTCCGCAGGGGGCCCCAGCTGACTGAGCAGGTCCGCCAGGTCAGGGAGGCGGCGCAGCCCCCGCCGCCAGCTGGAGAGAGCGGGAAGGGGGCGTGAGCTGGGGGAGGCGAGGAGGGAGAAGGTGAAAGGGGGGCAGCCGGGCGGCACCCAGATCCTACACACCCGCCCAAAGAACTCCCTTGCACATGGTGTGATGAAATATGTTTGGAAGGATGCACCAATAAAAAGAATCATCACCCGGCAGGCTTCAGAATGACAAATAACAGGCATTGAAATTCATTGTCACCCATGGAGTCAAATGCTAGCTCTGATGGCATGTTATTCTAAGAGTACATTTACACAAAGCATCAGTGTTTATAATTTAGTTTTTAAGCTGGAGCGTCTGAATTACTTTATGTGGAGAGCAGTGTTTATGACTAGATGGGAAAATAGACTAAGACAGCAAGCAGCGTGTTAACTTGTGGTGGAAATGCACTTAGCACACTTTTGAAAAATGCCTTTTCCTTAAAGTGATTCGTTCTCCATAAAAAAAAAAAAAAGGAGCTATGTTGAACGACTTTGACAAATTAAAATGCATTGTCTTTTAATAGGCTTTAAATGACGTTTGTATTTCATATGTATACCCAATATAATCTAATTACATGGATCCCATTTTATAAAAACTAATCGTAAAATTCTATCTCAGGTATAAAATGACTAAAAACACTATTTCGTTTCTACGAAAGATACTTGCCCACGTATTTGAGAGTAAAATTAAAGGGCAGATCTTCATCTCTCTAATAAATCCATACTAGAAAATGCCTTCCATGGTCTGAAAAAGCAGCAAAATGTGCTTAAGGGTTTGGGGCTTTGTTTTGTTTTGTTCTTCGTATGTTCACTTTCTTACACACCCTTGGAATAGAGAAATGTGTATGAAATAATACCATGTTTTGCCTTTTCTTGCTCCCTTTCCTCCCTTTTGTTATTAATCCATTTCCTAGTAAAGACAAAACATTATCAAGACTCTTGGCCAATAAAAAAACGCCAGCAATCAGAAAGTTACGAAAAACTATTCCTATCAAGTGAGCAACTCTCAGCCAAGACAATATAAATTTGTAAATGCGAAGAAACTTCCGTTTATGAATTTATTCTAGCTATTCAGCAAGATAAGAGTTTAAAATGAGGAAGCGACTGTTTCTGAAAGAGGAAACCCTCCCCAAGGCTCCCTTGGGATGCCTGTCATTTTGCAGACCCTTGCAGACACAGCCCCTCTGCATGCATTAGATTAAAAGCAGTTTTGATCAAATAATTCCCAGGTCTTGCCTGTTTAAGTATTCTGACATCAGAGGAAATTAGCAATGTTGAAGGTTGCAAATTTGGTCTTTGTTTACTTTCCACTCTGTTAGGCCTCTAAAAGGGAATTAAAAGCTCAGAGGGCCCTAGCTCTGTGGGTCTGTGATTAGGACAGATAAGCTAGTGTGGATTACTGTTTCTTCACTGGTGAAAAACAGGCAACAATCAAAAGATTATAGGTTGATAAGGGTTACAAAGAAAGCCTGATCCTAACTAATATATGGCATCCTGAAGGAGCACTTGTTTCAACAGCTACGGTTTTCTCTGTTCTGTCCTTTTAGGAAAAACTCTGTGATACCACTCCTCAAGGAGAGCATTTTTCTATCCTGTTTGTTTGTATTTCTCAGCAGCTATTCAACTCTGGCACAAGGACAATTTCAAACTGGAAGCACTCTGTAGTATCTGCCCATTCTAAGCATTCTTGGGAGGCCTCGGACGAATTCTCCAAGTGGAAACTCATTATATCAGAAAAGATAGAATCTAAGGAGTCAAGTGAATACAATTTAATGTTCAGAGTCAATACTTAGACCTTCAAATAGCCACCAGGCACTATATTTAATAGCTTACTAGCAAAAGAAAATGTAAGATGCTGAGTGTATATTTATCTATGTTTGTATAATAATTGCTCAGACACTCAAGAGTTCACACATTCTAGCTGCTGTATCAAGCACTAGACATAAGAGCTAGGGACAGCTTCTAAGTCAAACTTTGCTACTGTTTACAATATAATCTTAGGGAAACATGTTCTATAGTTTAAAAAAACTCACTTTCTTTACCCTTGAATTGAAACTGACTCATAGCTGACCCACCTATTGGATTTCTGAGGCTGTGTATCCCAGGGGAGAAGATTGCTCATCATTCTCTTAAGCAAAGGTGGATTGGAACCGCCAGAGATGTATGCCCTTTGGATTAACAATGCAACCCGCTACAGGAGAGTTTGAAAATTTCCAGCAATCCATTTCTTCCTCTCAATTTCAATTTATACAAAGCTTAAGGGACATACACATACACACTGAATGTGTATCTATCCTTCTATATAAAATCAGTTAGTAGTTAAGATATCTTTAAGCAAGGTTACACACTCTGAGACACGTAAGCATTTGTCTCCACAACTGCCACATATCTGTTCTATAACAATGTCATGACTGCACTTGAGGACACAAATGTATGGGTCTCCAAGGAGAGAGAAGTGACATATATATTCAGATACATGTTCCTCAGTGAAAGGGATAGTGTCCAACTGGATAAATCCTATCAATAAAACTGATAGATGGCAAGAGAGAGCAATCTTTGTTTTCTAGGGGATCATATAAATAATACACAAATGCTTAATGACATGATGTCAAAATTTAGTCACGAGAAGTCTCAAGGATGCAGATTAAATTGACCATCTGTACCACCTGCCATCAAGTAAACCGTTCATCATTTTTCACAAAGAACTGTTCAGGTATTAATGAGCCTGGCTGTAAAAGTTTTCCAAACCAATGAGTAAAAAATGCAAAGCATAGTTTTTGTGATTTTTTTTTTTTAATTTAGAAATGAGTCAATTCAGAACCTATCACTTCACATGTGGTGTCCTGAATTTGACTTTACTATATTTTTATATCATTTCTAAACTCTGAATGTTCACACATATGCACGTGTGCTTATTTTTTATTAGAACATAAACAAAAAATCATTATGACTTGTGCATGGACAATGACTTAGATAGATATTAGCATTTTAAATTAATAATATGTGACAAAAAGAAAACAACATTTAATATCATCAGTTCTTATGTGTAACTATAATGTATAAATAAAGACATTTAAACAAAGTTATTCTTATCACAATATTACATAGGGAAGATATCTGAGATATCTTTCTCTCAAATAGAAATTGAAGTAACTTAAGATGCATCTTGCATCTTAAAAAAACCAACTACCCAAAGGAATTCTGTTTGTGTGGCCTCTAGGTGTCATACTTGACCAATATTTAAGATAAGCAAATTCATTTAGACTTTACTTTTCTCCCTCCCCCAACTCCTACTAAGGACAACTTGAGTCTAGACGGACTCATAGCGGACCATCCCCTAGGATTCAGAAGCTGTAAATTCCTCAGGAGGAGATTTCCCATCTTTCTGCCATGGAGCAGCTGGTGAATTCCAACTGTCAAGAATCATGAATTGGATTAGAAGCATTTCAACTCTTTGACTAGGCCACCATTATCTACCAAATCATTTAAAGTTAGATATCTCATTTTGTAGTTTTTATAATTAATAGCCATAGATTTTTTCTTTTTTCAATTTTTTATTTTACTAGTTTATAAAATTCAAATACACTGTTTTCTAGAACAGATTCTTCCAATTTCCCTCACCCCCCCAACCCATCAAATTGTATAACCCCATGATAAATCTCCCCCTCCCCCACTGCACATCCTCATCCTTCTGCTTCCACCATCACAGTCCATTGGATCTTTATACTCATTCTACAATAATGGGGTTTTTTTTCCTTCAAAATTTTTACTCTAATATCCATTTCTTCTTTCCCTTCTTCTTTTAACCACTTCATTTAGTTAGTTAGTTAGATGATTGGATTTCTGATTCATAGGTATATATACGGAGCTCTAATGGCCTAGTGGTAAGAAGATGCATTGCAGTCCCAAAAGCACACAGTTGAAATCCACCAGATGCTCCATGGGAGAAAGATGGGCAATCTCCATCTGTGGCATATACTGCCTCTTAAAACCTGCTGGAGGGTCAGCTATGAGTCAATGCTGACTCTATGACACACAACAACAAGGTATATGTAAGGAGGACACGTTCTAAATTTCTGCTAGTTGACCAGAAAGTTAATTCCAGAGTGCCTCCATTCTAATTGTAATTAAACATGATTCAAAACAAACAAGAACTGCTCCAAAGAGTTGAATCTCTCATTTTGAATACTTGGTGTAAATGCATAATATTTTGGTTGGAGTTCTTCCAGGGTTTAGGGACTAAATTATTCAATGCAACCCTTATGAGAAGAATCCTGTTCCCGGTGATATGAAGGTATAAGTAGTCCCTGGAACAAGCTAGCAGTCTAAATGCTGTATTAATTCTACTATTGATGGTATGGATGAATGTTCTCAAAGAGGAGAACACCTGGTAAGTGTCATAAAGCATTTGAAAATTACAGAGAAACAAAGGATACTAGAGCAAGCTCCATAGAACTGGTTACTCATCACTAATTCCAATAATGTCCTTGTAAAAAGAAAGATGCGGAGATGGCCATATCTAATCTTTACTAACTTCACCAAGGGAAACTGTCCCTGTAAACATCAGCAGCACAAAATTAATTCCCATAAGGTAAGGCATGTCTCTCATACTTCTATACCTCTTTCTACTCATCACAATACCAATCTTA